CTACTTACACCAATGTGCTGCTACTTACACCAATGTGCTGCTACTTACACCAATGTGCTGCTACTTACACCAATGTGCTACTACTTACACCAATGTGCTGCTACTTACCAATGTGCTGCTACTACACTAACACCAATGTGCTGCTACTTACACCAATGTGCTGCTACTTACACCAATGTGCTGCTACTTACACCAATGTGCTGCTACTTCACACAATGTGCTGCTACTTACACCAATGTGCTGCTACTTACACCAATGTGCTGCTACTTACACCAATGTGCTGCTACTTACACTAATGTGCTGCTACTTACACCAATGTGCTGCTAATACACTTATGTGCTGCTACTTACACCAATGTGCTGCTACTACACTAATGTGCTACTACTTACACCAATGTGCTACTTCTTACACCAATGTGCTGCTACTTACACTAATGTACTGCTACTTACACTTATGTGCTGCTTCTTACACCAATGTGCTGCTACTTACACTAATGTGCTACTACTTACACCAATGAAATGATTGAAATAGCATTGACCTGCCGTAGGTGCCAATCTACTTCTAGGCATACGAATGTGCTTCCAGAAATACCAGTGTGCTGAAATCACTGTTTTCTCTGATACCATAACCTTGCCCCCTCTCAGAGCTCAATCAACACCTATACAATCTATTAATCTATTAATCCCAAGATCACGACTGCGTCTGGAAACATTGAAGTCTCGATGTTATCTGCAGTTGTTGTCTCGGTATCAGTAATGTCCCTCATTTCCCTGTAGTTATATCCGTCTGTATGGGACATTTACAACTCCTCTGTGAACCAATTCGCTGACCACATAGCCACAACTCTACCCTGACCTGTAGCTGGGGACACAGCCAGAGAATAAATGGCTTTATCAGATATTTGGTCACACGAAGAAGTATTTATTTCTTCATACAGTAAGAAAATGCGTTATAAAAATCAATAAGGCTACCACTCATCTCTCCCGTGTCAGTCTGGGTCAAGGAGCTATCACCAGTGTAAGAAAATTACGAGAAAGGTTTTTCTAGTTCCGGATCCAGGCCGATTCCTCGTTTAACTTACCCAAAGTTTATTTCCTGGTTCCGAAGAGACTGTCCCTTGTGACCGGTGTTTGACCAGATTTGTTCCCCTGCAATTTATGACCGTCTGTAGCCCCCCTGAGTCATCCTTCTAGCTGGTACAGTTAGGGCGGGAGACAGTTTCAATTACGAAGCGAATAATTTCCCATGGGTGAGTTTCAGATAATCTCTCAATAGCATGTGATTTTATTTCTTCTAAAATACCACAATCACTGCATTTGTGGTACTGGGTAGGTGAACGGTTAACGTGACTGCTTTTCGGGCCATCAGTTCCGATATGGGCGGTGTGGGGTGGGTTTTTTTTGTTTTTTTTGTTTGGTTGTTGTTGAATTGGTTTGTGTGTGTGTGTGTGTGTGTTAAGCCTAGTAAAGCGTTCGCTCGTCACGCCAAAGACCCTGGTTCGAATCCCCACATGGGTACAATGTGTGAAGCCAAGTTCTGGTCTCCCCTGCCGTGATATTGCTGGAATGTTGCTAAAAGCGGCGTAAAACCCAACGCACTCACTCACTCCTATATGGATATATTGTTTGAAACCAAGTCATCGCCTTGTATCTGGTGAGTTTTGATTATTTGTTGAACGGGGCACTCCCAAATATTCAAATCTCGTCGTGAAGTTGACCAAAGACTTCTGTGAATGACATCATCGAGCTACGCAATTACGATAACATGGCGTGCAACCGATGCCTGCTCGCGTCATACAAAACTATGCTAAATGATGGTAGTTTCCCTGCCATTGCGCTTGACATAGAGGGCTTAAACAAGGACGGGCCCGCTCGGGGTCAGGTTATCGTCAGATCGGGCTATTCATATTAAAACTATGGTATCTCAGTAGGCAAGCAATATAAACCGACCTCATAAAATCGGAGTAGTCGAAGCAATGCGCACACGCATGTACGTAGCTGTGTAAGGGCAATATGTTTTAACATCAATCACTTCATGTAGCTCCGACATATAGCTGGAATATTTCTGGATGCGGCATTAAACAACAAACAAATAAACAACCTTCTTGAGTATACACGTTCACCTTACACACCAGTACACGTGGTTCAGGGTGACTTTTGTGATAGCCTTTGCTTCCCGACGGTGTTGACCGTTGGTCAGGCTGAAGTGTTTCTCCCACATACACCTAAAACCTTTACCGGGATACATTTTATTTCCATTCCAAGTGGTGGACATTTTCATATTTCGCGGATCAGTGATCAAAATGATACCCGAATCAATTGACTATTTAGAGTGAGTGAGTGAGCAACATGCAGTATCAGCATTCCAGCACTACAACACTGCACACGTTGGAGTGGAACAATGGAAGATTCCGATGTTGAACACCGACGACGGTGTCCAACATCAGCCACAGCTGCTATAAAGTACACGACTATTGCGCAAGTGTTTTGATTGTGATAAAGTGTTTTGATTGTGACTTACAGGTATTTACGGGTTTGTTTTTTAGTTGTTGTTATTATTGTTTTGTTTATCTGTCTTTCTCTCTCTCTGTCTTGTGTTTTTTGTTGTTTAAGGGGCGGTGTTCTTCTTCTTCTACTCTAAGCAAAGGTAGCATATGCTTTGCAACCCTTTCATGGGGTGTGTTGAAGCCCCAGGAATCCTTAAGGCCTCAGCTGACGACCAAGGTCGTGCAAATTAATGTGTTGATAATACACTCCTTCAATGACCAATTGAAAACATACGACTGACTTCTTCAAAAGTGATTTATTAATATACAATAACGAAATAAATATTTTACTTATAGAATCCACGGAGAGCAAAACCTGTTGCTGGGATAGTCAAAAACATTGATAAACTGGGAAAAAAGGGAAAAGTACAGTTAAAACACAAAGCTGGCAAAATGGAGACAAATTCAGCCCATGAGAAGCTGGCAAAACTAGCATACCAGCCCCTCGGTACGGGTAGCTTACTGTTGGAAACTAGGGAATGGCAAAAGCATTAGAACACCTTTGGGACTGTCAAACAACAAGTAGCACGCGCTAGTGTCATGTTCATCCAGTTCATATTTTCTGAAAAGAAACAAATACACTGAAACACTGAAAGACACGATAGAAAATCCATGATGGCTCGTTCTGGTTCGGGTTTCCCAGGCTGACAAAATATTTAAGAACCGGAAGAAAAGATGGTTATTGCTTGTTTTCTTTTTAGTTTTTAGACTGAAAGAAGTAAATAGCAACAAAAAATAGATCCTCCAAGACATTAACTAAACATGTATTGTCATACTCAAATTGAACAATAATAAATAACTGCTTAAGTACAATGCCCTTACAGAGATCGCCTATAATCGCTCAGTGTTTGAAGGGTTAGTTTTAAATACCTACTGGAACACAAAGATATTTTTTCATGACATGAGATGGAGCTTTTAACGCACTACTGATCCTGTTTTGACGCTGCTCCTCACATCTTCAACTTCACACCCCTGTTTAGGTCAAAACATTGTGGTACAGAGAACAGTGCGGGGACGGTTACTTACTAGAGAGATGACCAGGTACGGCTCATAGAATCGCTTTCTTCGATTAATCTACAGGGAAGGTGATCGCCTCCATCTTGGAACGTCGTTTGACGTTTTCTCGCTAAGAACGTGACTTTGGGTTGAGTGAACATTAAGCCAACGACAAGACAATCCATTTATGAAATACGTTTTCAAAAGACTAATGACACATTATCTCTGACGAAACTATTATAATAACCGATCAAATTTTCCTACGCAAACTGAATCCATCAGTATTACGATTCACTGATGTAAAGATCGAATCAAGAAGGTCGTCATGGAAGCGTTCTAATGAAAGGGAGACAACTCAGTATACCACACACATTCACTCTCGAACATTATCGTGGGAATGGACGATCTATCACAACCGATTACCACATTTTCAATGGAAAGTGCGTCGTTTGAAAAGGGGGTCTATTTACCAAGGCGCCATCTATACAGAGATATTAAGGGGGGTAACTTGATGGTTACTACCAACGCATACCGCTAAATAATAGACAAGACATACACACATGAAGAATGTATGTATAGGAACACCCCTCGCAGTGTTTTGTTAATTGTGTACATGGCAGACTGGATTTCTTTCAAATCTGGGCTTCATAATCTTTGTTGTAAATTCTTTTCCATTAACAAAACATCAACAGTAATTGGAAAACAGGCAAATCACAAAATGCTGTATCGGTTAATTTGGTATTTCAGCTTTTCTTCTTACTCAAATATATTCATGAAAATATAACCTAAGAAAACAGTAAACGCTTTCCTAAAACCCATCTAGCTACACTAGGCAGAATACACTATGTTGTATTCGATGAGGCGAGAATACAATTTACCTCAAATTACGGACAAAGCGTAATAAACCTTCTGATTGTAAACCATAACATAAATTAAATGCTGTCTTGGTTATTTTGGTGGTATAGCTTTTGACAAATGCTCAGAAACGATTATCAGAAAATACATTTAGTGAGTATGTACACGGTACGGCTGATCTCAACCTGGCCGATAAGGCAGAATGGAAATAAAACAGCCTCGTACATGAATATACTGGTTTACATTGCAAGGAAACTGAGATTAATCTATAAAAAGATCCTCCAAACAAATTGTCGTAAACTTAATATTTAAAATATATATTTTTAATTAAACAGGCGTTATTAATTTTTAAACTCATCACGTTATCTCAAACACTTGAAATGGACAAATTCGGACAGCAGCATCTAACACGAATTGAAAAAAATGGGAGCAGTTCATCTGAATATTTAATCATGGACAGGTCGTAGATGTACTAATGAGAAGAGGCCAGGGAGGCTGTGACATTGAAAACATTTATATATCTATATAACGTTGCTGCTAGAGTCTTTGAGCATTTTGCTTCATTTAAATTAGAAAAATAAACAGTACCTAAACACAACATATTGCGTATCCTGACAAAATCTATTTGTTGATGTATTTAGAGTAAGGTATAATCTAATATGGTGTATCTGTTATGGTGAATAGAGTAAATATAACATGGATAATTGTCATTCTTCAGTTGTTTTATTTTTATAGAATTAGTCTGGGTACACGTATTTTTGTGAGAGAAAGTTCATGAACTTAAGACAGTTGGATGCATGGAATTAAATATGGTACATATTATAAACATGCTGTACATTCGTGTAATTTATCTTGAGGACGTGTTGTATTATGATGCTTTAGGTCTGTCTGTACAAAAATACACTACTCAATGTCTCTACACCGAATATAGTGGAAATGATGTATAAAATTTGGCTTTCAAATAAATAAAATGTTAATGTATGAAAAATGCATTGTCCAGCTACTGTCTTGCTATTATCTATTGACATACATATTTAATCAAAACATCATTCAAAGATATACACAGGTGTCATCAAAACACTGATGACGTCATGATGTCAAAAATGTCAGCACACTGTGACGTCACAATGACATCAGTTTTAGTTTTGTGTTATTCTCATAGACACACATGAAGTCAATATAAGCTTCAAAATCACATGCGTACAAGCAGGCTTTGGGTTTGAAATATGGGAGTGTGTTCTCCTCCAGTCGATATTTAGCAAAGCACTGATATGCACACCGACATGCCTTGTCTGTCAAAAGCACTATTTCAAACAACTCCACTTTCAATATTTTGTCAGAAGTCGCATTCTGGCGTGACGTCATATGGCGGTATTGTGACCTCATAGCGGTATTGTGACGTCATATGGCGGTATGGTGACCTCATAGCGGTATATTGTGACGTCGCAGCAGTCAGGGTTACGTCGACAAACCTTTGTCTGAGATTAAGTGTTCACATCTACACACACATCAAGGAACATATAAAACACTCCTGCTAAGGAAGAGTGATGCAAAGTTGTAGAGAGCCTTCGCGTACCTGTGAACACCCTTGGGGTCTGGGGTGTTCACTGCGCTGGAGAGTTGCGTTAGCCACGGCGCATGCGCAGATAAGTCATGAAGGCCTCGTATAGGCGCAAAAACAAGGTGAGCTATGTTCGCATTATTGATAACAGCGTAGCAGGAAGCGACTACGCCATCCACAACGATTGTACCACTGTGGGTAAGAGGGGCATACACACCCCTTTCAGTCCTTGATGTAACCATGGTAACGCGTGACGCTTTTAAATATTCCACGTTGTCGTCATGGTACAGCAGATACTGGCCTGGTTTTACCGTCTCCGCATACACGACGACGCTGTTGTCGAACACATCCGTTGTACTGTTGGAGTCACTGGCGTAGATCAAGTGTTTCGCCGTCAGCGTGATTGTTCGTCCATCTTCAGTCCCTATGGTGTAAAACAAAGCCGTCTCTCCCGTGTTGCGATCAAGAAACGTTATAACTTCACTGAACTCCAGCTGTCCGTCACTACCCACGCTCAGGACCATGTCCCCAACTGCCAGACGGTCCATGGAAACGGTTCCTCTTTGCGTGGTCACCATGCCGTACCCGGGGAAACAACCGCCGATTTTGATCGCCACAGAGGAATCTGGAAAATAAGCAACAGAATGAAAAACAGATAAATATAAACGACCATATCCATCTTATCAATCTCAGTCTTCTTTACTTCAAACTACTCGTTGAATGTTACACTAAGAGGACTCACACACCTGACGCGCGGCAATTCGCTTTAAAGAATCATCTCCCTTAGGGACCTATTACCGCGGGGTTGAACCCCAGATTTGCCTTGATATCATCCTTGTTTTGTCACCACTATACTTGTGCTGAAGGATTCGCCAAAATGTGAAACATGGTTAAACTGGTAAACTGTCTCAGTTCGGTATTTACTCCTGCATAAATCCAACGCGCCGTGACATAACAGAAAGACTGTTCATCGTACAAGACTCACTCGCGCACTTAATATTTCAACCATGACAATAGGTAGAGGCGAGGTAACTCGCGCACTTAATAGTTCAACCATGACAATACGTAAAGGCGAGGTAGCCTTGTGGGTTAGACATACGCCCGCCACACTCGATCGTCAGAGAGACTGGGTGTGACAACGAAAAGAGTCGTCCTTGCATTGGTCATCAAAACCTGGATTCCCCCTTTGTATCAATTAATCAAGTCAATTATGCATCATCAAATCAAAGTGTTACAAATGCACCAAGTACTCAAGCGCGTTCGAGTCCAACACACAATGAATAAATGGATTATTGAATTGTTTGATGGGCAGTCCTGCCTGACAACGGTACGAGGGTGCATACCGAAACGTCCCTTTAAGGCGGTCTTGAAAAAGTTGTTATCCATAGAGTGTGTGTACTCCGTAAATGGAATATTGCTTAAAGCGGCAGAACAAATAATACTCTGTTACCATGTCAATTTCATGGTGACCGTATGTAATTTAGCATTGATCGCTACAGGTCCAGAATAACACTACGGCGCTTATAGTCTCGTGGATGAGGTGCGTATCGATGATGCCTCCAGCTTTGCCGTCGAATGTCATGTAAGTTGGTTGATTGCAATTTGTATGTTTCGCCTACATGAGATATAATTCATGATTTTTAATGAGTGAAGCCATCTTTCCCGTAGGTCAGTGAGAGGCAGGTATAATTTTAGGTATGTGTTTACAGGTATGTATTTACAGGTATATGTCTAAAGGTATTACCTGCTCAGTCTGCAGCAAACGCCAGAAATACTCCCAATTTTAAATATAACACTTCCCTGTTGTTATAGTAACAGCTAATGCGATGGCCTGGTCAGTCACCAGAAGTAGGCTTCACACATTGTACCCATGTGGGGAATCGAACCCGGGTCTTCAGCGTGACTAATGGACGCTTTAACCATTAGGCTACCCTAATACCCTTATTCACTAGAAGATTCAGGAGTAGGACCCTGGTCAGTTTCGGAAGCGGCGACTAGTGGTCGAGCATCAATGACGCATGTTGCATGTCAGCGTACCCTGGCGGCATTGGACATTGTTCTTGCTGTCAACCACTGGTTCGAGTTTTCCAGACTCGAACAGATAAAGCCCCATCACCCTATCCTCTCTCGAGAGCTGCTAATTGTTGCGCTGAGCACCATTCAGTCACTCAGAGATGGACCTGTTCAGATACAACCTAAACAACTGCTCAAAATAAACTTCAATGCTTTTTCATCAGAAGATGAATAAAAAAAATCTGTTCGTCTAAAATGTCATATTCAAGCGGTTATGTATGCGTGCGTGCGTGTGTGTGCATATGAAAAAAAGCAAACTCTTTCAACTCTTTCAATATTTCAGCCATATCAAGGAGGCACATACCAGCAGCGGACTTCATACGCTCTCTCCATGTGGGGAATCGAACCTACCAACGGTCCACCACATTAAGGAATGCTGGAATCGTCTGAAATCAGCCCATGCCAAGAATGGAAGATGAAGACGGAGATTTCGATTGTCTTCGATGAAGCAAATGTTTAGCTGTATCAAACTTTTATATGCATTTTATTCTGCATTGGCTAAAACCATAAAATATGACCATTTAACAGCAGTAATGAAAGGCAGCTTAGCATTACTCGTAAAATCGTTGATCTAGCTGAAAGATTGTCGACAAGGGTGTAAAATCCTATTCACTATTCATTGTAGAGCCACGGCCGCTATTAATTCGTCTTTTTATACAGGCGTCAGACCATTAATATTGATTGTCTTTTGAAAAAGATTTGTCAGAATCAAAGTAGTTTACTTGACTTTTATTCATATTCTTCCTAGGATGTTAAATGTTTCATCTTTTCGAAATCATAACATAAATTATTACTGCAATTATAATTCTCTACAGTTTCCTGTTTGGTAGGGGCGTGGCATCAAATCAACACCAGTCAACTATAAGAGACAGAAAAGTCCAATCCCACAATGTTTGATAATGATCGGAAGAGGACTGTCCTCTGGTAGTAATTAATGTGTTTAACTAACAATCAAAGTACAACTGAGTTCCAGTCATGTTCCTCTAGGGTGTACATGCATATTTCAATCAATACTGAACCTGGTATCTTAAGTACATACAAAGTACCCGCAGCGAGTGTGATATGGCTTTCCTCGCGACTGAGTACAGGCGCCGCCGACAGTCTGTCGCGCCTAGCCGACGGTGTGATAAAACTCTACACTGATTCCGATTCGAGATGGCGGACATATCAAACCGATCTGTCATTCATTTTCAAAAAGTGTCACTCAAACCCCAAGTCGACAATAGATAAAACAGCGTCGGCAGGTTTTCTCGCCTTGGTGGCAAAACTATCGTGTGGTGGTTCTGTACTAATCGGCGGAACTGGGTGACGACAAAACGTCATTGAAAACAAAGCCGATCAACTCACAGGAGCAATATACCGCAGGCGTCAGACTGATATCATTTTATGACTAGAAATAGTTATAGGGGAAGCCTCATCTGCTTCAAAATTCGGATCCTGGTTGTGGGATGGACAGGGCCGCGGCTGATACTATCTGTTCTTTAATGCATTCAAAGGATCACAGATATACAAAAGCGTCCATTGTTCAAACAATTTTATTTCAAAATGTGAAATTTAACCCTATGTTAATGCAACCCAGTACGGCTGTTTTCGTGTTATGCTAAATTGCATCCGTGTTTCAAATTGCAGTCGGAGTTAACTAGCAACAGCTGTTCTTGCGTGAAGTCTTTTTAATAGCACCAGGCAAAACTCTATGAATTAAGCTTTTCGGTCTCAAATCGTGTTTCTTCACATTCTTTGTTTTGAAACTAACATAATTCTTCATTATTGTCAAAATAATTAGCTGTTTGAAAGGATTCGCATTAACCAGATGGTTTGTTAGGACATAATACAGGGGATAGAATGCACACATTTGACAACTGGAGTTGACCAAAACACGACAAACCTTGTAAAAACGAATGCCGAAATACAACTGTGATCATATGAAATACCTCAAGATCGATTAACCATTTCTTCACCTTCATAACCATTTCTTCACCAATATGAGCGTGCAAGTTCCTTTTTACCCGACAGAACAAGACAAGGAAAGGAAAAGGCAAAGAAACCTGATAATTATTGTTTTCATTTCAATGCTTCTTTAACACATTGTTTCATATAAACAATGGGAGCGACGTGATAGCCAAGTGGTTGAAGCGTTCGCTCGTCACGCCGAAGCTTCGGGTTCAATTCCCGGAAGCGGTGTGGCCAATTTCTGGTTCCCCCGCCGTGATATTGCTGGAATATTGCTGAAACGGCGTAAAACTACACTCACTCACTCACTCACTCACTCACACTCATATTAACAATGATTTCTGCATCTGCCTATGAAATATTTCTTCATCAAAGGGAATCTCGAAGAAGTATTATCAATTGTACAATGAAAAATATTTTTATAAGTATCTGTAAATATTCTCCAATATGGTACACATACTAACGTACACAAATCTATGCGATACCAAAGGCGGCCTGATGCTACAGTTGAGCATCGAAGGGACTCCGTCACCATTGTCATAATGACTGTGAAAGTCAATCAATGACTATATGTAGACATCCCAGTCACAGATTGATAAAAATAAGTATTTTTTTAAAACAGACAAATAAGAAATGTTTGAACGACTTGAGTTAGTTTCCAAATAATGCTTACGTATAGTAAAACGTCCAAACTATGATGCACGATTTTGAAAAATATCTTTATATCTGAAAGTAATTCACTGCTTTAAAATGCATCGTGAACGGGAGTCTGCGATCGCGGTAGCCAATCACACGCATGTGTAACGCCAAGTCTGACAGTTCATTCCGAGTACACAGGGCCAGTATACACCAAATAGCGTATGGATATGTGTCGTTCTCGCACGCCCAGAAAGATCACCGACGAACCCTGTTGCGTCAAGGGCAAACACAACAAAAATCTACAGAATGTGACGTAGAATATTTAAACATTCAATAAGAGATTTCTCAATCATGCTCAAATTGAAATTCTTCAACTATTTGAAAGTTAACCCTCCTGTCCCTCCACCAAGGCCTAAGCAACTGTCTGCAAGCACAGATGGGCGAAAGTTTCGGGTAGCCCCTTTAGCTGTTTACACAAGTTAACGTTTTCGTGACTTTCTGCGGTGCTTGGACGAGACTTTAAACATTGAGGTCAGAAGTCAAATCAAAATGGCGGATATATAAGTCGGTTCGCCCGAGATCTCGCGCCTCCCTCACGTGATGTGTAGACGAAAGCACATTTTCAGTTTGCCGACTGTTTGGGGTTTGTTTTAGGTGTATGGGGTCTTGGGTCAGCTCTGTAGTGCGTGGGTCAAGTAAAATCAAACGTTCTTGGTCATGGGGCACTTTTAATCGCACAGGCGGGATGGGTGGGAAACAACAAATGAACGTTGTTTCTCAAATGTTACACGGACCTACAGTTAATAATTAAGGTTCAACAGACAAAACATCTGCTATAGTGCAACTGTACACATATAACGGCTACGCGTTTCGAACCCAAACTGGTTACATGTACCATAATGTGAGTAATGTGCTTCACAAGTTCGAACCTGGAATTTACAGTTCACTGTGAAAAAAATATAG